CTAATCCTCCTCCTACCCCTGCCTCTCATGCCCAGTACATCTGTGGGAGTCTTTCAGTCTTGCTTCACACTGAAAGGCACAGTGCCTTGACCTGTGAGCAGGTTGGAAGGCTCCACCTTCAGGCTGGCAAGTCTTTGCCTCTGATTCTGGCAACTTGACTCACACTTTTGTGTTGAATTATGATCGTGGTATATGGTTTTGTCTTTGCCGTTAAAATGTTTTATTCATTCAAGCATCATGCATTGACTTCTTTCTGTATTTCTGGCAACATGTTGGGTGCAAGGGTGAATAGTATAGTTAATCTTGGAAGTTAATACAGTTAAACTTGAAAGCTCTTTGTTAACTTGAATTAGAAAAAAGCAAGGACATAATTACTGTTTCATGTGTCCAGGTGCCATAATAGAGGTCAGGGACAAAGTTCTGTGATAATGCAGAGCAGGGGGTAATGTTATGAGTTGGTGACTCTTATTAACCAGTATTAATCATGGATATAATTTTTTTATGAGTCAGGAATACAACCAAGGTCCTTATTTTACTTTTCTTGGTATTCCCAGCACAAGGCTTGGCATATTAGTAGGTGGTTATTAAATACTTGATAACAAAATGAGTGATCCTTTTTCTTATGAGAGAAAATAAATGTTTTTAGAAGAGTCAGCTTTATACCACAGTTTCAGGGAATGAATTGTGATGAAAAGTGAAGATTGCTTTTACTTGAAAGAGGCTGACAAATTTCCCAGGCCCAGGATCACTTTATGTGGTGCATGATTTAAGGGTGAGTGAGCATGCCAAAGCGCTCCACTTGAGCTGAGTGATGGGGAATGAGTTGTGGAGCTGTGGTCTTAGATGGTATTTTGTGAAAAATAGTAGGAGATTTATGACTATTAAACAACTTTGTAGCCTCCCCTTCTTGTTTTGAAGCCTGCCAAATCTCTTCTCCTGTGGTCTGTATCATGTTCCTTCAGGGCATCCGTGATGTTCAGAAATACCCACTGGAATGCAGGTTTCCATGGAATGCACCCAATGGGCAGGGGCTTGCATTTTACACACACATCCGAAGACATTTGTTTTCTGTAACCACTGAGTGAAATTCTCACTTTGCAAGTCTCTTGTAGAATGTACTGTACTTTCCTTGAATTTTTTCCAACGAGGTTGCCAAAGTTCTACTTTCCTTCCTGCATTATGGAAATGGCAGAGTGCAGTATATTAGTGACTATTAGCATTATTGATGTGAGTTTAAAAAATCATTAGCAACTCTCAAACTGTGAGTAGGAGAAGAGTACAGAAACCTTCAGTGTGCTCTGACAAATCTGAAGCAGAAGGACTTACCAGCCTGGAAGGAGGATTCCAAGCCTTTACTATTATTTATCAGCTTTTCCCATTCTATTGTCACACTCAATAGCTTTAGAAGAAACAGATTTTTCATAACAAAAAGTTAACCAGACATGGCCCTAGTCCATGTTGTGCAAGTATTGGAAAATTGTTGGAGAAACTTTCCTCGAATTATGGGTTCATATCAACATAGGACTGTATGGATCAGAGAGGAGTCCTTGTTCTTTTCAATGTTTGTGTTTATTTTGGAGAAATTTTAAAAATATATAAAAGTTTTAAAAATTTGGTAATTTTCTAATATTTTGACATATTTGTTTCAAGTCATCTCTAAATAAAAATAAATAAACCTTATATAGAAAAGAGAATCCCCCCCCATTGCATTAGCTCTAATCCTATAACTCTGACCACTGACTGGCAGAGGCAACCATTTTCATGAATTTAATGTATAACTTTTATAATTTTAAATGTTTACAGATACACATGAGATCAAAGAACTACATATTTACATAAATAATATTATACTACATTTATCATTTTGCAACTTGCCTTTCACTCTGCATTAAATTTTCAGGCCTCCTCAAATTGAGATGGATAAATCAGGTTTATTGCTCTTAAATACTAAATATTATTCCAGCATATGGATATACAACATTTTACTTATTCATCTTCCTCATTGACAGATGCTTGAATTATTTCCAATTTGTTCTGTTATAAATAATGCTGCATTATTTATGTTCCACCTTACAGACCTGAGTGAAATTTTTCATAGTGTATATTTTAGATGGAATTGCTGTCCCAATTTTCAATTTTATACATATTGCTAAATTACTCTCCAAAGTATTTGAACCAATGAACATTCCTGCTGGCAAGGAATGAGAAGATGGGAATTCTGTTTTCTTTTATTTTCTGTAGCACTTGAGAGACTTAAAAGTTTGCACTGAGATGGATGAAAAAGATTGTCTTGTTGTTCTAATTTGCATCCCCTTAAATCCTAGTAAATTTGACCATCTTCTCTTTTATCTATTGACCATTCAGGTTTTCTCTTCTTGTAATTACCTGACATTTCCTTTGTCCAGTTTTCTATTGTAATTTAATAAGGGGCATATGCATTCTGGATACTAATATTTTATTGTATGTTTTGTAAATATCCGTTACCAGGAGTGATTTAAAAAGTAAAATGTAAAAGTATAATTCTTGCCATAGGTAGTTAGGAAATTTGGTAAGGACTCAAAGATTGGAGAGTACTAGTATTTGTAGTTATGAAGATGTGGATTTACCCAAATTTCTCTGTCCTCAAGTTAGGCATATCTTCTTAATCTAGGTTAAATCCACATTATTTAAATCACCCCACCTCTGTTTCTATTATCTCATCACTGTTATACTATAGTTATACTGCTTCAGTTTTAAGGGGAGTTCTTTATTCTTAGACAGGTAGCATAGAACTTAAGACATTGTCTTGTCCATTTCTTTTATGTGATAATTGTGTTCTTCTGAATCATGCTTGTAAGCATAACATTTAGAGACTAAGTGTGTATATCACTATGAGGCGATTACATGGGCTTCATTCTGATAAAAGCCAACTCCAAGGCATGGTACTTAGAGTCTTGATTGGTGGTAGTTTTCTTAAACATCTGGCCATGGAAGTCCCACCAAAAGTCAGAACATTGGCAACATTGTTCTTTCCTGGATTCTCTTCCATGACTTGAGTTTATAAATGGACACTGAGCAGAAAAGCAATTAAATGGTAGGCATAGAATGATGACTGCAAGACAGAACTCAAGCTGCACAATTTTTGCTTTGACTACAATTGGAAATAAAACTAAATAGTTATTTTATCCTTGGTTACAAAGCTCTAATGTTTTGCCCAGTCAGGGGTACTTGCTGAAAGGTAGTTTCTTCCAGTAATTTTAGGAAAAGCTGTCATTAAATTGTCAACAGCCCAAATTGAGAATAAAAGTACTAAGAAATATCACAATATAGCAACCTAAGAATCAGATTGGAATTTTAGGCTTTTTTAGCAGTGAGGTGGAGCAGAAACATTGGCAGAGAAAGATGCTTCGGCCTCTTAGAAAGGAAGTGTGGTAGATCTGTGGAAAGACGGCCTCCGTACCCCAGCCCATATGTCCTGCCTCAAGCATTGGAATAGAGGTCATTTTCAGAACACTGTCCTTGTGTCTCATTCATCACAGAGGGATTACAGGAGACCTTGAATGCAAATGGAGAAACACATGGTGACTCTAGTATTTGAATTTTAATCATATTTCTGACCCCTTTTATATCATTGCAGCATCCTCGATGTCTAATGATGTAGTACCTAGCAAGTCTTATCTCCTTTTTAAAACATTTTTCTTGGTGACTGAACTTTTATCTTTCTGGACCCCATATCCTTGCATCAAGGTTAAACACCATGTATTTCCCTTGAAGCTGGAGAGAAGTAATGCTACCTGAAATCTGTCTCCACCTTAGGGACAGAGCTTCCGATCTCGCACCATTCAGAACTCTTTATACAAGTCTCCACTGAAAGCTGCTTAATCAAACATCTCAAAGGTCAGAAAGGGGGGTTAAAGGGTTTTTCTAGCAAGTAGGCCTAATCTCCGACTTAGTTTTGATTCCTATAATGTAGATAATCTCTTTGGAGGAAAGGCCTGCTCCTAGCAGGGCAAATATATCCCATAGAATGTATTTCCTCTTGCAGAAGGAAAAATGTAGCATTAATGAAATTTACTTTTTCATGAAGCTTTGAAAGGTTGTAAGCTTAGAATTTTGATCCTAGCAGATGTTCTTCTTTTGGGATATTAAAAAAAAAAGTAGCATTTGATTCAAAAGTCTCAATGAGAGTTGCAAGGGTGATGCTTTTGCTGTAAGAAGCCACATTCTGAGTGTGACACTGGTCATCGGTTCTAAGTGACAACTGACTTCACAGCCGTGGTCCTTTCTTCCTGCCTTACCCTTCTTGGAAGTAGAGCAAGGCAAAGAGAGAGTTAGCAGCCTGGGTCACACCCTATATAGAGTTTGATGGTTAAAGAGCTATTTTGTACAATTAAAAAAAAAGCATCATCATAGACATATTTCATATCATTTTCTTATAGGCCTTGCAATAGCAGAGTTTTGTTGATAACCATTATATATATATTCCAATTTCACTTGGGTTTCTCTTGTGAAATTCAGCCAGCAACCCCGATTGCACTGTCTGTTATGGCTTCTATCCTTTCACATGATCACTTCATACTGTGGATTCTTAAGTCTTCATCCAGGCCACTGGGCCCACGTAAACCAGCCAAGTTTTTCCCTTCTTCACTGGTTTCCATAGAAATCTACTCACAGTGAGCATTTAATCTGTGGGAATTACTAGAAGAAGGCACATGACAGAAAACTAAGTCTGCATCATTTCCTGCCTTCAATCTCTCTTTTCTCCCTTTTCATTCAGTTCAGCACAATGAACAAATAGCCCCTTTCTCTCAGAGCCCTTCCTCCTATAGGCTCCTCAAAGCTTTGCAGTCTACCCTACACTCACCAGCATCTCACCTCAACGCAGACAACTCTTGCTTCCTAAGAAGAGTCTCGGTCAATACTGTTTTCTGCAAACCCAGATCCTAAGGAGACATGTTTGGTAAGTGAAGGTATTTAGTGTTTGGTGTTGCTTCACCTTGATATTTGCTTTTATCATGCAGGCTTCCAGTGACAGCGCTGCTGCCCCTCCAGAGTGCCACTACACACCCCTGCCTTCTGCTTCCAGGGAACTCACCAGTCACCGAGGTAGGAACACAGCTTTTCTTGCTCTCCTCTGTTTCAGGGAAGGACACCTGGCTGTGTATGCTCTGGGCCTGTGACTGCTGCCTCAGTACTTTAGCAAGAACACAGTGCTTTTCAGTCCTTAATGAGAAAACCATACCTGTCAGCTCTAGCAACTTGAATTCATATTAAACAGAATTTAGTGGCAGTCCACTGGGAAAGCAAATAAATCCATGGTATAATATAATTTGGTGAATTTTTATTTTTTTTTAAAAAAAGAGTTTATAGTACTTAAAAATTACTAAGATCCATGGTATAATATAATTTGGTGAATTTTTATTTTTTTAAAGAGTTTATAGTACTTAAAAATTACTAAGACAATTACCTCCAGCAAAAGGAATGAAGAGAAATTAGAAAGCTCACTAATATTTGAAAAAGTGTCATTGTTTAGGAGTATAATAGTTGAAATCTGTAATTTAAAAATAAACGAACGGCATATGACAGCTAAAAGGAATTTCAATTTGCCTGGAAATATTGAAGAGAATCAATCTGTAGTTTTCCCTGAATTCTCTGATCCCCAAAACAATTTGGCTTCCCCAGTTTTTCCAAAGCCTTGAATTCCTACTGCCATCTCTAGAGTCGGTATGGAATATAATTTAAAAATGTCTTATCCCTAAGCTGGCTGCTTAGGCCAAGGACTATGTGATCCCATTTGTTGGAACTGGTTAGGACAGGATGAGGCCCTGTGGTGTAACCTGTTTACCTCCTTTTAGCCCAGTCATGACTACAGCCACGTTTCCTAACTGTGAACCTACCTTCCAAGGGTAAGTAAGAACAGGCTTAGACCGAGGGCATTGCATACTTTAAAATTGTTTCCCCAAGCAGCAAATTCCCTTTGTCCATGCAGTGGTCACTTAGTAAGGATGGTCCAGCTTTGTCATCCCAGCTACACTGAAGAGTCAGTGGGTAGGAGAAAAGGCTGTAGAGATGCCCAGAGAGGGGTGAGCTGGTCCTCTGAGAACATGTGGGCTCTGGGCATATGGCGCATTTCTGTAGAAAATGGTCCAGAGGTCATGCCAGGTTCCTGTTGTCTGCGACTTGGGCTTGTGTTGCATCTTTGTGGTCTGGGCACAGTAGAACTTTCCTACATTTAAATATACATTGTTCCATTAGGGTTCAATTGTGATACAGTTCATTGCATGTCAATTTTGTGAAAAATCAATTTTGCTCCAAGTCAGGTAGAATAAATTGCTGCCAACATGTTATATTTTAAGAGGCGTGAATTGGTCTCCTTCACTAAATGTCCTTATGAAGGTTTTGAACACATCTCTTTAGAGACATTTTTCAAATTCCCCTAGGATAATAGTAATGCCTAATCTAGAAAGAATAACAAATTAACCTTAGCATCATATCATCATGGGTTTATCTATTTGTGTTTTGTAGTTGGATGAAGGTGATTTTACTGTGTATAGCCTGTTGAATACACTGCATAGGAACTGAAATCTCAGACTCCTTGTAAAGGTTGATATGTCCATGAAATTGAGATTTCACAATAGGAGGATGCCATCAGATAAGTGTTAATCATGAATAAGATAAAGATCCTCTGTCATTGTAACAGTCAAGTAATAAATCTGAACCTTAAAGAGATGGGATATAAGAAAATAAGTTTTGAAGATATTTTGAGTAATATTTGGAATATGGAAATTTTTGCCTAAGGTGGTTAGAGTGAAAATAGGTGCTCTTAGATGACATCAGAGCCCAGCATCAATGGGGAAAATGTTATTTAAAGGAAGCCAACAACTGGTGTCTTGATTTTACTGAAGAACATTTCTATACATTTATTGCACATGGTGCCTGATCAGTGCTAAGGACAATGGATGGTGGAAAAAGCAAGAAAGCATCATGAAATGATGGCCAGGTTTTTAGGGCCTTTGGACATGAGGAAACCAGGAAGAGCGAGGCAAAGAGGCTCAGTAAGGCCAAATTATTGGACTGATCTATGTGGGGAAAAGATGAGACTGATATATTTCAGCTTGGCAGGAATCATACAATGACCAATGGGAAAAGCCATATATTTTGGCACCCAGAATGAAACCACTTAGTGTCATCTTTTAAAAAAATATTTAAGTTAAAAAAAATTATTCTAAATTTCTGATCATATGAATTGGCAAGCTATTTGAGTGCCATTGATTAATACCCTCACGGAAACAGCTTACAAACATTTACCCAGATAACTATTTTCACACTGTGAAGGCAGGTTACATCACTTCTCTCCCAGGTGAAATCCTCCATGGATCTGAAATTTGGTCCATAAAACCTTAAGTTCTATTTGCAAATAATGTTTGATTCCTCTAGTTCCCAATCTCTTTTCATTCCGCACCAACAAGTACACAAACTATCGGGCAGTAGTTCATGTGAAAATTGCTATTTTTTGATACATGTCATTTCCCCTTTACTTGTCCTTTTATGTAACTTCCAATGTCGAGTTTGATGGGCCTAAGATTCATGTCCTAAGGACTCTAAATTCAAATGTAAGAAAAGTCAGGGCCCAGGATAATGGTCAAGAGATAGGGGACTCTATTTTTCCAGTGATGTGCAGTACTTCCTGCTTCCTGGATGAAAGTTTTTTCTGACCTTATCTGTTTTTATTTTTCTCCTCTTGAGGTACTTATAATGTTTATTTCTATATCTTCCTTAGTGCAGTTGTTCCTAGTCTGCTTTGTCTGACAGAGGTCAGGTAAAGGTACATCTTGAACTTCTCATAAATGAAAGCTCCCTGAGGGGTTGTACAGATTTGAACCTGTCTCCCCTCTCACATTACTGACTCCTGCTCATTCTTCAGGTATCGGCTTAAGTATCACAGCTCCAAGGAGGATTCTCTGATCCCACCCTGCACATTTGTATTAGGTTGGGTTTACCTTTGCAGGGACTGTCTTCCTAGATAGGCTTTAAGCTCTTAGGAAGAGTGGAGGAGATTGTGTCTGTTTGCTCACCACTATATATGCAGTGCCTCCTACTTAATAGTAATTCAGAAAATATTTGTTCAGTAAATGATAAGTGATGGACAACTGGGGGAAAGTCAGTAACTCAGATACCTCTGCAAGGTAGCTTGACTGTATCTGAGAAAAGGGACCCATCTTTCCTTGGGGAAGGACCCATCTATACCGAAGGGAATAGCCAACCGTGTGTACCTCAGACCACAGTTCTGCTGCTCTCAAAAACCCAGATTTTGTGGACGGAAGCCATGTCTATTGATTCAGTGCCAGACAGCATTTAGCAACATTACATAACTTTTGAGTAGATAATTATTTTAATGTCATAGTTTTTAAACTCTGGTGTTATGATGGGGAAGGACCCATCTATACCGAAGGGAATAGCCAACCGTGTGTACCTCAGACCACAGTTCTGCTGCTCTCAAAAACCCAGATTTTGTGGACGGAAGCCATGTCTATTGATTCAGTGCCAGACAGCATTTAGCAACATTACATAACTTTTGAGTAGATAATTATTTTAATGTCATAGTTTTTAAATTCTGGTGTTATGATAGTAAGTAGAAAGGGAGTAGGACAAATGGAAGCAGCTAATGAACCTTTTACTAGAACAGAAGCTCTCAAAGAAGGGCCTGAACACTCAATATGATGCAGGTTGTGCTGTAGTTAAGGTTTTAGAAGGCTCCATCTGAGTCTCTGTGAAAATTCTGCTCTAGGCCTGAGCATGTCTTCAGAGTGCAGGGACATGGGGCTGTGTCAGTGATCTCAGCTGCTACTGACTGGCAGTCCACGTACTATATGTGGGTATCCACGTTATGAAGAATGGTGAAATGTTTGTCGGAGAAATGTCTCTAAATACGCCATGTGCACGGGACATATTTCCACTCTTTATCTGGTGGCTTTTAGAAGTAGAATTTTCATTTATATAGACCATTGTGTCTTTTGGGGAAGACATTTCTATTTGGAGCACAGACCATGTCATCCTTAAGACAACCCGATAAAGTGGGAATGTTATCATTCCCATTTAACAGAGGAAGACCCAAGAATTTCTAGAGGAGACTGAGTCACTCACTAACAGAGGCAAGGGAAAAAATTGAAGCTCCCTGTCCTTGATTCCCAGGCCACTCCTGACATTTGTCCTTCACACAAGACATATGAAGCGAATGCAGGACTGACTGTGGCATTGTGCTGGAGGGAAGAGGGGCACAGCCTGGAAATGTCCACTGCTGGTGGATTTCCATAGCCTGTGCTAAGGCTGCAGAGAAGCAGGCATTGCCTATTTTTGTCAAAATAATTGCCTGTTATATCCCTCCCTTCCCCTTCTTTTAAATTACACATCTATCAGTTCTGGCACAGAGAAAGTTTGAGAAACCAGAGAGGAAAATACGATGATATCAGTCTGAATTAAGACAGGGAAAATAGAAGACACACTATATATTCAAATTATGAAGGGTTTTACTGTCTGGCACAGAGAAAGTTTGAGAAACCAGAGAGGAAAATGCTATGGTATCAGTCTGAATTGAGACAGGGAAAATAGAAGACACACTATATATGCAAATTATGAAGGAATGGGAGTCTTACACAATCAGGGAAGGACTGACTCAGGGAAACTGATACCTAGAGTCTCAGGTATCAGTCTGGGTATCTCAGGAACCCCCAAAAATCTCCTACTGAATTTCTAATCTACACAAAAATGGGGGCGATTCTCAAGAAGTTCACATGGATACTGCTTCAAACATTAGGGCTATCTATACATTGCCCTGCCCTTCCTTCTCTCTGGATTTCCAAATCTTACTCTAGTATCTCTCTTTGGCCCACTCTAACCTAAGACTGTGTGCCAAGGGAATTCTGGGAAATGTAGTTTTCAGGTTTTCTTCTGAGTTGCAGAAGAGAACTTAGAAGAGGGGGTGGTAATACCTAGTTAAAATGTGCAATCCAGCACATCTACCATAATCCTACCTCACCAACAGTTATCATGTTGAAGGTCCCATTCCTGTTTATTTGCACAAATATTTTGCAAAGTAATTGTGAGCG